GTCACTTACTGCTAGAGCTTGGTTTTGATACTTCCATTTGCGTGTTTCCTTCATCCACAGCTGTTACGCTGGCGGTAGGTTTCAACTCTACTATCTGCGTCTGCTCTATTGCGTGATCTGTTTTTGTAGCTTTTTCCTTCGTTTTCTTCAAGTTTTCATCAACTTTTGCGACTTTAATCTCTTCTTTAGTGACTTTGTTTACACCTTTGATAGGCTCCTTCTCCTTTTTCTCTTTATTTTCTTTGCTACTGCTTTTCGGCTCTGTTTTTTCATCGCTGCTCTTCCTCTCTTCTACTTTCTTTTCAGGTTCATCTCGGCCAAAGCGCTTCTTCTGCCAAAGAGATCTTTTGAAATTTGTAGACCTAGATGTTGACACAGGATCACTTTTTTGTACTGCTACAGCCCTCCCCTAAAACATTTATTTGAGATCAGCTAGTGTCCACACAATTTCTTGCTTACCGATATAGGCATCCCTCGTCCTTCGCTTTTCAAATCGTTGTGTCTGACGCATAGACTCATGAAGCAGATCCATCCCAGCAAACTGAAGAGCAGCTGCAATGCAAGGGACTTGAGAGATGATGGTGAGCAGATATGAAGTTAGCTCACAATCAGCACTTCCAACATAGATGACTATCGAACATGAAAGTAAGTTGAGAAAATGACCAATCCCACTTTAGTCAAATGCTTATAACAAAGCTTTGGGCTCTGATAACATGCACCAAAAGCATTTCATGGATCAAAATAAAAACATATGAGCAGCAAATGGACTTTAAGGAGGTTTTGAAGCGACTAATCTGTACGTATATCATCTAGAGGTCATTCTTTTTCAGAACTATAACCGTCCTGGAATTTTATGCTTGCATTCCAAACAAAAGCCCCACATCGCTCTTCAAAATGTACGAGGTGTCCTAAAGTGTAGTTAGCAAATGTTTAAGCTTCGATAACTCTCTTGTAGCTTTGGCGTTTTAAAAAATTACATTGTAGAGCTCACTTCAACTTCAGATTATGGCATACCACGTAATCGCTCGCTCTTCATTACTGTGCGAATACCGTAAGAAATTTGGAGGAAGTTTTGAGCTATCGAGGGACCTGAACCTCCGAAAGCAAACAAGCAACCTGAAGGCTTAGTTTGAAAATGAGGTCTGCTTTTCACCGTAATGTCGCTTCCATAACTCCTGGATATGCCGTCATAGCCGTTTTCTCAAGGTTTCCTACATATAAATGCGGCTTTGCCGTTACCGTGCAATGCAAGTCGTGCCCAGAGCTGAAGCTGCGTAGTTTACAAAACCAAAAGATGATCTATTTTTGTAAGGTTCGAAATCCTACCTAGTCAGGGTTTGCTGATTACGATTTTAGAACACATTTTCATCAGGGTGAGCGCTTTTCTTTTATCACTACCCTGTTCCTTTCATATTCCTTTCAAACCTTTTGCATTGTGCAATCTCTTCTCTCGCTCTTTTTCCATAAATCAGCGGGGCAGTTTTAATATTTATTACTACTAGTAAACCTGCTTCCCACATATACAGTTGCTAATACTCTGGTACTCTGCTGTTGATGTTCTATGACCCTGCTGCTCATGATTTACTCTCTCCCATGCGGAATTTCATCAACAGTG